GGCTAGACTGGTTACAGAAGGGTCCCTAAGGTATCTAGAAATGAAGGAAATATATAAAGTATAAAAAAAAAGGAGAACAGTGGAGGCATGGAAAGAGTGGTCAAAGTGGAAAGCTAAGAAAATGGTGTTTCAGTGATGGTCTGGTATCTATTTTGAGTCACCAAAACTGGGTCCAGAATGCATTTATCAAAGTAAAAGATACTATTATGATTATTATGAAGAAAAATTAATTTAGATAAAAGGTATCTAGCTAAAATTAGACATGACATTTTAGCTATGTGAATGGATTGGAAAACCATTATCTTAGAGGTATCATAAAGAAAACATCTACAACAYACCAGTGCAACCAAAGTTTAGGGACCTGAAGAAAGGCTCAGTGAAAGGTAACATTAGCACTACAAGCCTGAACCATAAAAGCAGTGGTGTCTCTAGGGATAGAGAAAGGAAGAAGTATAAAGAGGTTGTGCAATTGAATTTTGTTTTAGTCTTGTTGTGTTTGAGCTGATGATAGGACAACCAAAGATGTTTGAGGTGAAAACCAACATCTTARTTTGTTCTGGAGAAAAGGAAAATACTGACTTTTTATCCAAGTGTATAAATCTGCAAATGTGAAACTTGTAGGGTCTTGCACCTTGTGATCCCTACAATACTGACAAGGTAAGGTAATGAGGAGGAGAGACACAGTGCTTTTTTGTTAAATTTCTAGTCTAGGCTACAGAACAAGCCACAGTCAGCCATGGGAAGGCTACTGTGAGTTAGAGAGGTCTGGAGTCAGTGCTGGTTCCTGGCATAGCTGGATTTTGAGGTGCATAAAGGTAGTGTAAGACCACAATTCTCAGCATTCATCTTGGCTACTCAATGTCTTTCACATGCAGAAATCATCCCTCCATCGCTGTATTTTTAAGGGGTTTTATTACTTCACGGTTTTGGTTCCTGAAAGAATAAATAAAGTAAACCAAAAAAAGAAAGAAAGAAAAAAGCTTAGGATTATTCTAAATTTGCATCTCTGGTGATATGTAGTAGGTCATTTGAGGTTAGGAACTCAGAATCTTTTATTGAGAAGGTGGTGATGATGGGATGCAGATGGAAAAATGGCAAAGGGAATAGATAGAATGCTGCTGGATGCAATCTCTCTGCTCCTCTCTAATCAACACAATTATTCATATATTTAGTATTCAGCTTCTTTGCTTTTAAAGACTGAAGTCTTGTCTCCTTCAAGCACTGAAATTTAACTAAAGATTTTTGGTTTCATGTCTTGGCTTGTAGCAGGGATATTAGATATTAATGCAAGATGTRGACTTTGGTGTCTTCATGAAAGCAAGCTGTGGCCCGTGACAGTATTTGCAGCCTTCTAGAGAATATATCTAGTGAGGAAAAAGGATTGAGACTTTATTTTTAACATACAATTGGCTTCTCATTGAGTTGCAAAACCCTGATGTTTTCTGGCTTTTCCAGTGTCCTAGCAGGCAAAGGGGAAATTGGTGGTGGGGACAGCATGGAGTAGAAGGCACAAGGGATCGCTGATGATACTGGTGACTGTAAACCTGGACAAGTCACTTGGCTTCAGAGCTCCCTCTCAGTAAAGAACAGGTTAATGCTTGTTAATACTTGCTTCTCTCATATGAAATGCAAGGATTAGAAGAGCTGTTGTGTGTCCAGAGCATCCAACATGTGTGAGCTAAGTGCTCTCACAGAATCTTTGCTGGTAASATAGGTCCAGTCCGTATCATCACAGCATGTAGTGTGCATGCTGCCAGCCAGAGACTGGGTYTTTCCTTGCCTTGAACCACCTTGCCATGGCTGTTACAGAACAGGTTTTCTTACATTTTTACAATGGGAAGGGAAAACTGATGCTGTCAATTTTACATATGATTAAAAAMCGGTATAATTTCATTCACCAGTAAGTTGCTTTTCCTCTCTAAATGTAACAGGAGAGAAGTTCTGGTTACTGTTCTGGGACTTTCAGAATTTGCTTGCTTGCTTAGCATAAATTGGGAAAGTAGTACTATAGTGAAGTAAAAAACTGTCATATTTGGGAAAGATAAAAGGAAAGAGAGAYTCAAGAACATGCTTCTTAGTGTTTTTCTCCCCTACAGGCTACATGTTATTTACTTTCTCCTAGATCCTCCAAGAGCTGGCATTGGCATGCTTCCAATCGTACAGCACTTTGCCAAAGTTAAGGATTTTAGATGTTGATGTGAATGCAGAAGATTTTGATTCTTTCCTGTGCCATGGATTCAGGAAAGATGTAGTGTCTGTATGCCTTATTCGCCAGCCTGTGGAATAATGTTCCTTAGAGCCAGTGCAACACTTGGAAATGTTTAAACCCCTTTTATTTGCCTGTTTGGAAAGAACAAGTGTACTATTACTGTGCCATCCAATGTGCCAGCAGAACACTGGCTYGCACAGAGATGGGGGCAGGTGCTGAATTATGCCCTTGTTTAACAGAAAATCTCCTAGTTGAGTGCTATCCTAAAAAAACCCACAAGGTACTAGAGGGAATAGGGTTGGTGGATAAGCAGCTGCAAATCTGAACTCATGAATCCTAGATACAACTTAGYCACACAGTGTTTGTGGAATGATCCCTGCAGCATTTCTTTCTTGCACTCAGCCACTGAGGAATGTGTTTGTCGTCCTTCTCACTCATGTCACGTTGGCTTTGTCAGATCAGAATACATCATCTCTGTGCTTCTCTGTGTCCCTTGACTTGTCATAGGCACAAATCTTTTTCAAATGCTCTCCCCTGTTCATTTCCATTATTATATCTGATGCTTCTAGGTGGCAAGCAAAAAATGAATAACCTTGTAAATGCTCCCTGTCTTTCAATTTGTTTTATTTTTCATACAACATGTCAGTGCATTTTTGTTGAGTGTTTTTAATAAGATGAAGTTGATGAAAATAAATTGCTTTGCAGTTCCTGCTGTGGGTGACAGAAATGCTGGGTCTGTATTTTTCAGAAACTGTTCATTTGAAACTGGTGTGGAGGGTATTCTGTGTGCCTGTAACAGCAATCATCTTTGTAAGATATCTCCCAGAAAAAGAAAGCAGCTAGCAATTCTGGGGGCAAGATGCACTGCTGTATCCAGCTTCTGCTGGGCACAGTGACAAAGCAAGCTGTCAAGAAGAATTTTAGAACTGATTCTGTGCCAGGATTGGGTCTGCCATATTGGATAGTTAGCCAGACCTGTCTCTAATATGAGAGGGAGAATGAACGATATAGCAAACCTTCTTACCAGCCTGTTAGCCAAGGCTTAGAAACCAAAAATTGATTGTGTGGACATCCCCAGTGGCCATGGCTACTGTGTATCAGTTTTCTTCTGTGTTTCAATGACTTGCTCSAAAAATGTCATGTCTATAAACAGTGATCTCCAATTTACCAAGGTTCCCAGCAGACAGTTGGGCAACTACGCGTCTGTTTGGAGAGAACATAACCCATATATTCCAAATGTGATTTTCAAGTTAAGATTTTCCTCTTCTTTTTACTGATTTTAATGAAAAAGGGCAATATTATTATGTTTCTCGTAACTGTTTCAACTTTGACCAAAAATGCAAAAGTATAATTTTAGTTCCCCAAGTCTATAATTTTATGGTTTTGTCCATTTTTGATGCCTTTTTAGTACTTATTTAGCTGGCAAGACAATACTAATGTCTGTCTTTCTGTAAGGCAGGGAGCTGCTTTCTCCTTCTAGTAGCTGGGTACTGACACATGGAAGTTACACAGGAGATAATGATGGACTGGGGATCAGGTCTCACTTTTGCAACTCCAAGGCGAATGCCATTGTCATTGAGCAAGCTTTACTTGGCTCAGAACTGCTTTTAGTCCTTCTACTGTCCTGTCTTTTTGGAAACATTTAAAACAGGAATAATTATGACCCCAAATTTATATTAATCTTCTCCACTTTACATTTCAAATTTGGAAATTTTCTCTGAGATTATGCTGCTTGAGGTAGAGAAAAGACAGTATCCTCGATTAATTATTCTTCATTGTCTATTCAAATTTGAAGAGTTGGATTAATTCTGGTAGTAAAATTATCCTGCTGTAAAGCAAAGGCTTGAGGGATCGTGCTACACAGGCACTTCGGTCTGGTCTGATGTGCTGTTGGGAGGCAGGGACTGTGAAGTACTCTCAAACTTGTATGTTTTTRAAGGGTTCAGTTGATGGTGTTCCTGCCACTTCCCCGGGAAAACTGTTTCACTCCCAGTATTAGGCAACATTTCTAGAGATTTATACTGTTTCCCTCTGCTTGGCTGCCTTCCATCCGTCCTACTTAAAACAAGAAGATGGTCCATCCATGGCAAGTCCTTTCCTTCCAGAAGTTTCACTCTTCACTCCATCACTGCCAGGAGTGCTATCTGAGGTTTGGAGTTTCCTCTCCTGCTCCTAGGCCCGCTTTGTGTCACGTTTATTCACCCAGTGTCACATTTTTCACCTGTGAGTTGCAAGGCCAGGCAGCTACTCCAGCAAATCACTGCTGTTCAGCAGCAAAAGCTGAAGCTGTTGTATAGGCTGCAGATATGCAGTTCTATTCTTTTTTTCGTTGTTCACCTTTTTTAAAATTCATTCTAGTTTGCTGTCATCTGTCTGTTTCTGTCTGAGTGCAGCTTTGCCACAGCTGTTTTATAAAAGAATTGTCAGTTTGGTTAAAGAACATGAGGCTTCTTGGTACACAGTCTTACTCCACTGTTGCTTTAAGACCTGCTGTAGAAGCTTATACCTGATTATTCCCTTCTTCCCTTCCTGTCATCTGGGTAATTTTTAACTCCCTGATTACATCTTCCTATGATACTGGACACTGAGTACAACAATGGCAGGTCTGAAATTTGTAGAATCCCTGTTAAACATACTAATTGTTCCTGACTTTAAAATTCTCTTCCACTGCTATTTCTGGAAGTGTTCTCCTTGACCACGTATAAACAGAAGTGTTTGTATATAACTGTGTGAGTGTGAGGGGGTTGGTGTGATCACGCACTTACAAAATCCTGGCTTTGTGTTTTTCTAGGTATTTGGTGCTAGAACATGTGTCAGGTGGGGAGCTCTTCGACTATCTCGTAAAGAAGGGAAGATTGACACCAAAAGAAGCCAGGAAGTTCTTCCGACAAATCATCTCTGCTTTAGACTTCTGCCATAGTCATTCAATATGGTGAGTACAGCCATTTCCAACAGGAGTTCCCTGTTATGTAATAAAGGGATCTTGATACTTTTAAGTAGCTGATGTTGTAAAGCTCTAAAAGCATTGGATAAAGTGCTGATGTATTTTTTATTTCTTGTCCATCTGTGAGACAGCGTACCAGTCACAGACAGACTTTTCATGGAGAAGACTGTTCATCATTTCTCACTGGAGTTCATTCTCAGGGAATCCTTTAAAAAGAAAACCAAAACTACCAAAGAGAAAGTTTCATTTCCGTATTTTTGTGGCACTTACTAATAACTAAGAAATTATATACACTATATCAAAATGACTCCCTGAGGAGACTTGGGACAACTGCAAATACAGCAAAGTCATTTTATGGTTTCCTTCAGTTTCTGGAAACCTGCTGGCTTTTGGCAACCTTTGCTGAGTTCCCTCTGGGCATTTGAGTCACTGTTGCCTTTAATTTCCTTTCCAGTAGGGAAGAATTTTCTTACTAACTCCCATCATATTATTTAACCATGGTGTATAGTTTAACTTGTGCTTTCAGGTGGTGGTTTATATTAGATCAGTTTCTCCTTCATCTTCAGCAAGTTGAGATAATTTAAATTATACTGAAATCAGTCTGARCACAAGAGTTTCTGTACAGCTACTGACCCATAACTGCCTGCTCATTTCTCATAAATGCATCTCCTTGCATTGGGATTGGCTGGGGGAGAGCATTTGCATTATGTCTGTGTGGCTGCTTCTCCAAAGCCACAGCCAGTGACAGAGMCCCCACTCCAGGAGGCCAAGGGCCACTGATAGGTACTGCAGTAGCTGGATTTGCATAATTACTGTGTGGTTACTTTTCAGTAGCCATATAGGGATTTTCTGTACCCCCACTTCTGTGCTGAAAACTCACAAACCAGATGGCCACAGCAAAAATGGATGTTTAAATATTTAACATGCTCTTCTAGCCCCCTCCCCCTACATCTCTGACTCATTTTAACAGGAAATAGTAATCTGTAAGAGAGCTTATTTCTAATAAATGGAAAGGGAAAGAAAAGCCTGTCTTGAGGATATATTAATAAGAGTGTACTGTATAAGAAGAGTGTAACAGCATACTGTTAGCCRAAGAGGCAGTTCAGAGGTGATGGATCTGGGTGAGAAGGTCCTGAGCACAATGCCTGCATGGCACAGGCAAGGTTTCAATAGTCAGAGAAAGTCCCAGAGAAGCCAAGAGCGGGTTGCATGCCCTCTTGCATGCGGTCTAAGTTTTCTCTGTTGGCAGTGACCTCTGACCAATTTTATTCTGTGAAATCCACAATCTTTCCTCCCTGCTATTCAACTGCACTGAGTGATCATGACCAGCATGATCCTTGGTAGGTTGTAGAGCTGTTATTTTTTACATGCACTGGGCAGTGTAACTGCTGGTGGATTGCATATATACATGTTTCTGTTCCCTGCTTGGCTTAATACTTAAAGATCCAATCCAAGAACACTTAAAAATGTTTAAGTACAGCTGAAGAGAAATTATTTACTCTTCCAAATTAATATTCCAGAGAAATCAGAATCTCCATAGGGATAAAAGTTTCTGCTAAAGCATGCATATATGCACATGCATGCTAGTCCTTTGGACTTGTTCCTCTGGATCTGACAGACTTTATAAAACTGAGTGAGGATTGTGATGAGATTGTAAGACAGACAGACCTCTGCAGGTTTAACAAGATGTGCAATTTTCTAAGCAGATGCATATTTCTCTTGAGGAATCCATTTTCCTCTGTTAAACATATTGGATTGTGGGCAGTAGTCTTGTTTAGAAGTAAATCCCATCTCCTTGCTAACTCCCACTTGACTAGCATCCAGTGCTGGCTAAGTTAGGAGTAAATCATAAACTCTGCCTCCAGGTCACTCTGAGACTCATGTGGTCTGTATTATATTCTGTGTTGGGTTCTGGACAGTTATCAAAATATCAGAGTATGCATAAATATATATGTGAGTGTAAAATTTAATGTGCTTTCCTAAGCAATGAAGCCTGACCTTGTCCTGTCGTGGGGCAGTGAAATGACAAATCATCTCATCAGCCAGGTTATCCAGTTATGACCATATTGAAAAATGAGGGCTTCTGCTTTGGTTAATGACTAAATGTGGGTGCCTCCAGCCCACTGGCAGAACAGATTGATAGCCTGGTGTCCCCAGCCCCAAACCATCATCCCATCTTCTTCCTGTACATCCCAGGATGCTATGAAATACCTGTGGCTTACTTTCACAACAGTATGTAATCACATTCAGCATTCACTGCTCAAAATGCATTGATATACYGGCATTCTGGGATCAAGGATTCAGAAAGGATTCCCCAATCCCCCTCCCAGCAGTAAAAGGCTTCTACTGCTACTGTGTGGAGAGATTGCCTCTGAGAGGTGTTTTCAAAGCAGCAGCTGAGACAAAGAAGCAGAATAGGTGTGGAGCCCGAGTCTGTGTGTTGTTTTAAAAATGTATGTGCTTTCTGTTCTTGTTTTATTTACTGGAAACAGTGGGGGAATATTTAATATACCTCACTCCATGGTGCAGTCACTTAAGGGGTTTTGTGGTACAGGTTGGCCATAGGGGACTGTTTATGGGTAGGGTCTTCTGAGGACTTTTAGAAATGTGCCACAGCAGGGACCCACCGGCATGAGTGGCACACAAACAGCCAGCACCATGCAGGGATCTCACATGGGATCTGTGCTACCCCACTGCATTCCCTGAGCTGGCAAGGCCAGCGCTTGTCTCAGTGATGCAGCATTGCTGCTTCTGCTTCCAGCCCTTCTCTGAGCTCCGCGGGCTCTGCACAGTGCTGCAGTGCCTGCGGCGGGTGCGCTGAGCAGCCCTGCAGGGAATGGCACAGCCACCTCAGGGTCCCTAGACATCGATGGAAAGCCAGCCGAGCTTGGGAAGTTTTCTTTAGACATAATTGATGGATTTTACCTAAGCTGCCATTCACCCCATGCTAGCTGGCTGCTCTCCTAAACACAGGGCCTTTAGGATACCTCCGCGGCATGTCCCAATAGCCCCATTTCACTGCGCTGCCGCCGCAGAGCGGGACAGCTCCCAGCTGGTTCAGCC